TTAAGTGGAGGCTGAGCATTCGAATAGGTGCGTTCTTTATATTATGCACATACAATTTTATTTGAAATGAATGTGGTTTCTGCCCTGTACTTTCTATTTTAGATTTGTTTTACGGACATCTAAAAATTATTTTATTTTTCTAATTTTTAATTAAAGTACAATTTACATACAGTACAATCCACAAATCTTACGTGTCTGGTTCATTGAGGATTGACAGTTGTTTATACCTTTGTAACCACCCCCCACCAAATGAAACATACTATTTGCGTAACCCTACAAAGTATCCCATTCGTGATTAACTTTCCTTCTACCCTTCCAGGAAACCATTTTCTGATTTTATCGTCACTGATTAATTTTGTCTGTTTGTGGACTTCATGTGAATGGAATCACACCGTATGTACTCTTGCATGCCTGGCTTACTTCATCCGTAATGTTTTCGAGATTCGTTTGTGTTGTTTCGTGTATGAGTAATTTGTTCTTTGTTATTGCCGAATCGAATCCCATTGTATGGATGTACCAGTTTGTTTCTCGCTCCTCTTGTTGGTAACTATGGAGTGGTATCCCATTGTGATTTTTACTTTCTATTTGTTATGATTGAATTTTAAGAGTTTTTGGAGAAGACAACATGAGTGGGGGCAGAATATGAAACAAAATGGTGACGTGGAGACCACGATGGGCCATGACTTGGGAAGGAAAGAACCAAACGGTGGTTGTAATAGCGACCTTAGGATTAGAGGTTTCTCTGTGGACCAACTGGGATTTAAAGAGCTGGAGCTTGTATTCCATGAGCCGGGCAAATTCATCCACGTTAATGGCTGCAACTCATCTTATCTCCAGTTTTGGGCTCCCAGTCCACTTATGTAACGGCTCACTGGGCATCTCTTTTTGGACATCTCAAAGGCACTGCAAACTCAGTAAGTCCAGTCTAGAATTATCTCATGGCGGCTTTCTGTCTTGGGTCGCCGGATAAAAGGTGGTTCCACTAGCTGACAGGATAAGGAAGGAGAAATGTTGAGGGCGGGGAGAGATAATGAAGTTGGTTCCCTGCCAAGTGGTGCAGAGCACTCCAGGAAGGTAAGGACCGGCAGTCGCACTGGGCCATCAGGAGATTCCTGAAATAGACTGAGAGCGGTTTTGGTGGAGTGGAGGAAAGAAGCTGGATTGCCGAAGGGTAAGAGAGAGAAATGGACACGGTGAGTACCGTCAGCTCTTTTCAGAAGTTTATTTGAGAAGGTCGGGAGCGAGGCTGGACTGTAGCTGTAGGGAGACTGGGTGAAGGAAGGGGTTTTAGGAAGAAAAAGACTAGTGACGCGTATAGGATCCGGGGAAGTATTCAGTCCAGGAAAGGGAAGGGGTGGGGGGTAGAACAAGTTGCTAGGAGGAACAGGAGGCAGTGGGGGAGGGATGGTTTTGAAAGAAGGATGAATGACTCCACCTCTGACTTGGGACGTGAATGAGTGAAGGTGAGAAGATTCGTCAATTAAAGCAATCTAAGGTTCTTCACAATCTGCACTTCTCATCTCACGTCTATCATGCGGGTCCGGTAGCTTTTGCTGTAGCCGCGCTGCGTGACAACCCCCAAATCTTAGCTTTGACCACAAATTTCTATTTATTATTCATATAACATGTCAGCTGTAGGGCAGCTGTGGCTGCATGGTTTTGTGGCTCTGCTCTAGGTGCCAGCCAGACATAAGATTTCTCTAGTGTCTTCTCAATTCCTGGACCCAAGCTGCCTCTGTCTGGTGTATGTTATTTTCATGGCGAGAGCTGGAGCAAGAAAGAGATGACACGATGACTCTTACAGCCTCTGTTCTGAACTGGCGCACTGTCACTTCCACCCGCTTTGCATTGTTCCCAGCCAGCCGTGAGATTGAGTCCAAAGTCAGCTGGGAAGAGATATAGACTCTGCCTGTTGGCGGTATATTGGGTATTTTGGAACAATAATCCGATTGACCATATATGTTTATTAATAACTCCATGACACAGATCTCCAACCTAACCCCCATCTCTTTGGTACAATTGCTCAAACATGGCAATGCCCTTTGAAGTCTCTACACCTTTGCACATGTGAGAGTCACCTCCCACTCCCTCCCCACC